TATTTCGACGAAAAACAAGAGCAGCGCGATCGCGTCGATTTACTCGCAGATAAATGAACGAAGCGCTATCGCGCTGCATGGCACAATCCGGTTAATTAAAACGGTTAATTAATGATTAAAAAAATTCCCGTGTCTTCTGCAAAGTGGCAGAGGACTTTTTGGGCTCAGAACGGCGTGATCTACGAGTATGCGACAGCTGTTATATTTTTTTAGCGACAGGCTAATCGGAATATATTGAATCTCGAACCTGTCGTTAGGTGTGACATTTTAGGTGTCGTTAGATTGTGACGCCACAAAATAAATTAGAATTGTCCATTTCGATCCAGAACACAATTTTCGTATTGATCAGTGATTGTTTCTTTTCGGTCCTCCTTCCTCTCCAATTTTTCTACGAAGTAAAACATCGTAGTTCGACGTTCTCCCCGACAAAATTTCTCCGTTTCACAATTTGCTCGAGCCTATCGCGATCCTTTCTCTATATCCGAGTTATACTCTATATACGAGTTTTTCGGCTATATTGAAATTAACGGACGGTAGCGTTCGAATTACCGAATTAGCGCTTCGAACGCTAATATTTTCGAATTACCAGACACATCGCCGAACTACCGGAGATTTTAATTAAGGTGTCGGCGTTACAACGGTGGTTACCGATGAAGTGCGAAAGAACCTTCGCCGAAGCGAACGGGGAAATTCGATCGTCGCGCACCGAGAGAAAGTGAGAGAGAATGTGTGTATGTATGAGAGAGAGAGAGAGAGAGAGAGAGAATTGCCCACGAACAAAAGGGATTAAGAGAGAGGGATAGAAAGAGAGACGACAGAGATGATCTCGTAAGGAGACGGCAGTGCTGCACGTTAGGAAAACGATAACGGCGGTCGGGCGTTGCCGGATACCAGAAACCGAATGTAAACGGCTGCTCTGCGCAACTTAATTAATTAAGTTGCCGCTCTTTACGTCCTCGCGGCGCCGCCGATACATTATCGTATCGATCGGAAAACGCCGGCCGAGAATCTCGGGAAATATCCCGTTGTCTCGAGCGAAATTTTTGCCGAAGGAAGCGGAGAGAGGAAAATGTGAAAGAGAAAGCTTACCTTCAAACTCGTCCGAGAGCATCGCGATTATCGGTCTTACGTGCGTTTTACACTACGCTCTTTGCGCGAATACTCGCGACGGCGTTGTTAATTTCGTAATTAACGCGGCCGCGAAAGTCGGCGGGTCGACACGCGAAAATTTCGCCGGTCGTCCGCTTTCCGACCGAGGGAAGTTTCGTCGACGAAGCTCTCGACGGAAGCTTTCGAGGCCAATCAATCGCTTCCTTTTGCGAGCGGACGCACAATAATGCGGATATTTGGATTATTGCCGCGATAAGAGATGGCGGACGCATTGCGTATTACATTACGCGCCATGACATATACCTCTCTCTCTCTCTCTCTCTCTCTTTCTCTCGGGGGAATTTCACAGGCAATCTCGAAACTTTACCTATTAAGCTTTCTTTTTTTATTCATAACAGTCACGACGTCACAAACATTACTTTGTCGCCCCATGAATACGGTATGCATTACGACGACCGCTTAATCTACGTTACTTGAGGTCGCAAAACCGTCGTCCTNCCCCCCTCTCTCTGTTACTTATTTTTTCTCTGTCTCTTTCGAGCCCGCGCTGTTTGCCTCGCGTTTTTTAATCGGAAGCAACAGCTGCCACGGCGCGTCTGTGCGTTTTCAGCATTATTCCCGTGTCCTTCGGCAGATATTTTCGGACGTCCGGCGGTCCGAACACGTCGACATCGATCACCCCGGCCGTATGCGAGGGCCGGAATCAATTTTTTTACTTATTCGAGTACAAAGTGATGGAGTATCGTTAAATGTCGATACTCAGTCAAGATATCGCCCGTTGTTTCCATTGATCTTGACCGGTTGTGATAAATGCGTGCATCTCCCTTTTCCGATAACGGGAATTTCACTCCCTCGGCTTTCTTCGCCAGCGGCGGAACGGAGGCGAGCCAATCGAGATATTTTCATCCTGTGAGTGAAAAGTCAGACACCAACTGGGGAAATTTCTGTTCCGACGGCTCGACATTCTCGAGCTACTTCGGTCGCGCAAAAATAGCGATAAAGAACACGCTTTATCCGCTCTCACCCTCTCCCCTTTCTCTCCCCGCTCTCTCAGCACCGCTAATCCCGTGCAATCGCGACGCTTTTCACTCCGAACGTGTTCGAAGAGTCGCAGAGAGCGCGCGTACGAGCTTTTTAACACCCCATCTTTTAGCGTGCGTGCGTGTATTTCTATATACGCGTGTATGTGAATGTTTTTTTACACGATACACACGATATTCATACACGGATATCGGCGAGGGTGAGCCCGCTCGGCGGATCATAGCGTGATTCGCCCGGAAAACTGACATCGATCAATCATATCGCAGACGAGTGTCGGTTTCACGAAACCTCCCCTGACGTTCGTCACGTTTTATTACAATGCTTTTACACGCTCGAACTGTGCAACGCGCGGGCGCGGGACATTTTTCGAAAAAAAAAGGAGAAAAAAAGAGAGGACTCATCCGCGCCTGCAAATCACGCTCCGCGGCGAATAATGAATTTTTTTTCGCGGCAACGCGAAACTCTCTGCTCCGGCGCAAAAAAAAAATAGCGTAACGCGCCCGACGTCTCCCCTAAAAGCCCGACCGGATGTATGCACGTTCGAAGGAGATCGCGATTTTTTCCGTCGGTGCACTCTCTTCCTCTCCCTTTCTCTCTCTCTCTCTCTCTCTCTCGGTGTGTGTCGATGCACTTAGTTACACCGATGATCCCCGGGAATGGACTCGCTACGACCTCGCGCGGTGTGCGGTGACTTTAACGAGCATCGAAATCGTTACCGGGACAATAAAGGAGCGTCGCGAATAAAGTCCCGCGGTTAGAACTTTACGGTTATACATCCCGGTATTTATGATCCCACCGGCCGGGAGATATGGTATCATAAAAGCCATAGAGAGCCGCGTCTTAAGCTCGACGACGCGACACGACGAGTCCGGCGCGTCGCCGCGGCTTACAAATTTGCTCGAATCTCTTCGTACGAGCGGATCGACACGCCGCGTCCTCCACAATAAAATCATCTCTCTCTCTCTCTCTCTCTCTCTCTTTACGAACTTGGATTTGGATGTGGACTTAGTTTAGGATTATTTCAATGTAGCTTTAAGAGCGTATTTTAATTTATAGCTCAATTTTCTCCTTGTGCGTAACTCAAAGTTACTTTTTTAACCCACGCTCTAAAGTGGGCTTTTCATTCTCAACTTTACCTTTCGTTTGATTTCGCATAATTATTTTTGCTTACGTGATTCTCAGAATCAGTAGAATGTAACGTTATTTCTTTTCGATTTTAGTATGCGCCTTGATTGTCCTTAGAGGGCTTGCCTTAGGATAAACGCTTAGGATGTAAATAAACGCTGTTCTCTCTCTCTCTCTCTCTCTCTCTCTCTCTCTTCGATTCGATATCGTGTCCTTCCGCAGAGATCGCGCTTCCTTGGCGCGAGGCGAATTCAATTAAGCCGACTCTATGATAGAGAGAAAACGAAAAACACACGGGGGGGAGGGGAATTTGTCGCGAAACACTACACGCGCGCGCGGAAACTAGTTTCGCGAGCAGGCGGGCTTTATCGAGAAGTAATATAAACTTTATATCCCTCTTTGCGAGGGGAGAGAACTCGTAAGACAAATATATGTCGAGATCGTCGTTTCCGGTTCGCGCTACTCGGCTTACGACGCTACGGCGGCTACAATGTAAACATATATCGCCGTGCTCGTATACAGATATGAACTTATACGCGTCCACGCACATAAACGCGTGTGCTGCGTAGGCGTTCGCGCTCGTTTGTCTCTCTCTCTCTCTCTGTCCTCTTTCTCCTCCGCACCCGCCAGCGTTTCGGACTCGCCCCGAGTTTTCGGATCCCGCCGTAAAGGCCGGCCGTCGTAAAAGAATTGCGTTAAACTTAACGCGCGGTCGTTAGGAGACGTCCTGATAAAATAAAATCTTAATCCCGCGCGCCACGCCAGTTCACGGAGGAGAGAAGATTTAGGGCCTCTTCCGCTCGCCCTTCCCGCCACCGTTTTCGACGGAGGAGGGCTCGTCGCTGCCCTATCTTCCTGAGATCAGTCTTAACGGTTCACGGGAACCGACTATTAAGCGTATCCGGCGCGTTTAATCCTTTCGGGCCGAAATTTTTATTTGTCCACGGGAGACACCCTCGTGTTTTTACGGGCGACGGAACGAGATGCCGATATTCTCCCTTCTGCGAAGGATTTCCTTCTTATGACGGTGGCAACCGTCTCTCAGGGAGCTTTCGGTCGCAACGTTGATTTATTTTCGTGAGAATCTTGCGAAATTTTCACAGCACACCTGCCGAGACACGATTATTTATTGATCGCCCGGGTTAAAGGAAAACGTTGTAGCGCTCTTAACTGCACAGTAAAAAACCTTCTGTTGAGAACGGCCCGCTGAAATGTTCGTTAACCGACAAACGGGAAGTACGTTAAGAAATGAACAAGTGTACGTGTAAAATGAACGTATTTACCTCGTTAAAGTGACACGAAAGTATCGGCGGGCTGTTCTCAGCCGAAAATATTTCCATTGCATTTTTATTCGCGTACGACCATCGGTGACTATTGAGCGTTTCTCAGCGAAAACGCACTGATTGCACTTTCGAAAGCGCAACTGCCGAATACGGTATCCCCCGGCATCCGAAAGTGCAGGGAGTTTCGTCGAAAATCGCGAGTTTAATCGCTCCGGGAACCGATTCGAGCGGGTCGGATGCCCCGAGCTCGCTCGAAATAGTCACCCTGCTCGAGAATTTACTTCCTCGCCGCCGAGGCCAAGTCCGAGCGAGCCTTTCGACTTGGAAAGTACAGCTTTCCCTCCCTCCCTCCTCCTCCCCTCTCTCTCTCTCTCTCTCTCGCACAATGCTCTCGGCGGGTTCACTGATACGTAACGCTTTTTCGTGTGCATCCCTTTTCAGCAAGAACGGATACGTGTGCATCATGTTCCACAGGAGGGACGAGCACGTAATAGAGATGCAACTCTCGGAATGGGGCCAGCAGCCTGACGATATATGCAATTCGAGCACGTTCAACTCGCACTCGACGCCGTACACGACGTTCATCAGTAAGTAAATTTTCATCCTCCTAATCGAATTACGGCATTGTCGGCGCGATATCACAGCGTGACGCGCGCGCGCGCGCGGGCTAACTAATTGCGCTTTAATGCACGGTGTCAACTTTCGCCGGGAACGGCGGGTTGCGAGTAATATATACGCAAATTTGATTACGCTTAGCAGCCGCGCCGCCGCGTTGACAGATCGTGTTATATATGTGTTTGTTACTGCAGTTTCGATTAATGCAATTAAACGGGCCGGCGCGCGGTTAACGGCGTGTCCCGTCCGTTCGGCGTTTTTCCTTTGTCGGCATTATTACAGCCGTAATTAATCGGACAAATTAATTCCGCCGATACCGAACGCCGAGCAAACTCGCGCTTTTCTTTCTCGCTGAAAGAAGCCAGAGCGGTGTCACAACGCCGGCGGGACGGTTACTCAGCCGGCCTCTTCGTCCTTCCGTTTCGACGTCCTCCTGGAAAGGACGACACCCAGCGGCCCAGAAATATTCAAGACGCACCGAGAACCCATTCAGTTGAATCAACTAATTTCTCGCTTGACTATGGGCGAACAAATTTCTCGGTTGTAAGCAGAGACCCGGACCGGAACCGAAAACCGCGATGAGACGTGAGACTACCCCCCTCCGACGGCGGATGCATTTACCGCGCGATGTAACGCGATTGTGAAATACCGCCGTTTTTCTTCTTTTTCTTCCGCCGGTGAGCCGGCAGGAGATTAAGTGGATTGGAAGCTGGGAATTCGGCCGCGCCGCTCGCGCGGCCGGAAACCGGAATCAGGAGCGAACGGTTCGCCGTTCGAGGGTGATTTCCGGGCCCGTGTCGGCCGGTCTCGGCGCTCCGCAACTGCCAATTCGACCCGCCGAGATGGAGCCCACCGTTTTTCTTCCGATTCATTGGCTGCGTCCCCTGGTTTGTCTCGATCTTATCGAGTTACCCCGACAGGAGATATAAGCGAATAGAGAGAGAGAGAGAGAGGGATCCGCGCGTAAAACGGGCCGGCGAGTCGATAATACAGGGATGACACGCTCGGTCCCTTCCTGCCTTTGCTTTAAATAGTCACACGTACGCCCAGGAAATGCCGAGCTTTCTTTATTATTAATACCCGAAGGATTAAGGGCGACGTTTCGACAGGCCATTCGGAATTCGAGTTACATCGCAGACTTCCAGTCACGATTTCACCGACCGTAAAACGCGATTCTTCGTGTGTCCTCACCGCGGATAGCATCGCGAATTAATATAAATTATAAATTATAAAGCGCGTGGCTGCCGGGTTCGACCCGTCATTAAGCAAGACGTCACATTACGTATCACGTTACGTCGCTCGTGAGTACATACACAGCCACACACACGCACACGTATCTCGTGAACTCTCAGCTGACTCGAAATCGCGAATAAAACGTGATTCGCGGTCTAACGAAAGAGCGCCTTGTTTGGTTTCTAAAGCCAATTCCGGACATCGATCTCGGAGTCGTCCGACGACGGTCGGGATGAACCACGCTGTCTGCTTGTACACGGAGGAAGAGAGAGAGAGAGAGACACGTACATACGCACACACAATCGAACCCGTGATTTGTCCCGGCCTTATCGAGGCTGTCTCGCCGTGAACTCTGACACATGCATTCAGCGCATGTCTCCCCGCAGACATGCGCGCACCCCAAATTGCGCCGTGCACTGAGGGAAAAAATTAGTCGGAGTGACTATTAATATAATCTCGCTAGATTTCACAGTGAACTCCGGCTTGGACTATATAGTGAGCTTGTAGCCCTTTTAAGCGTGCGAGATATAGTAAAGCGTGAACTCGGATTTACCAGTTGTTTATCGTCACATCGTCGTGTGCGTAAAAAACACGTGTTAAGAATATTGCTGCATATGGTGCTGTTTGTTTATTTATTACAGGCTGTTAATCGCGCTGGCCGTATAAATGGTCAGTTTCTGGAGCCACTCTATATTTGCTGTTTTATTATAAGTATATTCAAAATTATTATAATGAACGATAAAAAATTTACGTAGATACTATTTTATAGTAACGTTTGTTATATTTGTGCTTTCTTTGGCTATAATTTGTTAAGTATGGTAGTTCCAAATATCATAGATCATCTTCTCAGTTTGAGAGCTTCATCCGATCCGCGGATCCCTCGATGAATTTCAAGTCCGACCGTCGCAGAAGCTCAATCCCAGTTGGCCGACTTCTCCGACGGCCAATTCGAAATACACACGCATACGTACATCTCTCTCTCTCTCTCTCTCTCCTCCTCCCCCCTCTCTCTCTCCCTCTATCTCGCGACTAATCCCGAAATTAATATCCCGAGCGAGCCTGGGAAGGAAACGCGTGAGATTCCGCGATCCATTTTTACCACCACCGCGGAAGTACTCAGCTCCTCGCGACATTGTCACAGGATAAATATATCCCAAATTGGTCCAAGGAGCCATCCCGAGCGATATATATCCCCGAGACAGCCTCCGTATGTGCTCCGTGACAAAAGTATCTTATGTACCTCGCGAAAAGCGCACAGGCGCGTGCATAGTCGCGGGGGAGAAGTTTGCAAATGGCTGAGTTTAACAATCAATTCGCGAGGCGCGGCTTTACGAGCGCATAAAGGATCATATGCCGGATCCGTCGTAAAGTCTCCCTCCTCTCTCTCTTGTCGGCTTCGCCTTTCAGTTTCTCCTTAGCCGATTCCGTAACGTTGACGAAGAGCGGAGTCGTTCCGCCGCGCCGGTGCGGAATTTATCGCGCCGCCATTCGCACTCGTCTCCTCTTTTGTGCGTCGCACTCTCGGTGGATACACGCGTTACCGCGTTATACCGGCGCTCGGATCGCTCTCAGCTGAGAATGACACCGTGTAAAGCTTCCCGAGCTTTTTCCGCATGCGACGCGATATTAACGCGATCCTCCGGGCGTCTTCATCGTCCCCCTTCTCCCCCCCCCCTCCCTCCTCTTCCGGCGAACATTAATTTTCCTACGTCTCCTCTCGACTTCGCAGCTCTGAAATCTACTTCGGGCGATTTATAATTCGCGAGGCCCTCGAATTCGAGATCCTCGCGCGGATGGAACTTTACGGGGAAACACTCGCCGATGGGGGGAGTCGTTCTTCATTAAGCATTCATCCGGGCAGTCTTCGATCTGGGACGCGTCCCACTTCGCGTCTGTCGCGTAACATCCGAGATTGTGAAAACGTTACGTCGCGGCCCGAATTCCACGGCGAAATAATGGATCGTCCGAAGCGGGGCTTCACTCGAACGTGGGACGCGTTATTCGCTAAACGCGCGGAGTATGTTGCAATCTTAATCCGATCCTTCAATTTTAACGACGGGTGTCCTGGGGGGAGCAACGCTTTCCTCGTTACGTCGTTACCGTTTTCTCCCGCAACGATTCGCTTATGACGCTCGGTTTGCTCATTAATAACGGTAATGGTGACATTTTTTGGGAGACAGTAACGGATATAATCGTTACATTCATCGTCACTTCGTACAGGTATAATACATATGTACGGAGCGGGCACGAGCGAGTCCTAAAAGAAAGCTTTCAAAACTCGGTGAGGAAAGGTGATGGGAATTCCAACGACTCGTCACTTCTCGAGTAACGATAACGGTAACGAGTTGCCGTTTCAATGGATAAGAAGGGGTATGGGTTACTTTTCAAACATAACTTTTCCGACCCTTGCAGATATCCTTTGACCTATCTAAAGGCCCGTTTCCTCACCGTAGCTGTCTTAATTAATGACGTCACGAGCTAAATCGTACGTCCATATTTCTTGCGGAATACGCGGGAACAGAAGGTTGCGTCTATAAGTTGATACTTGTGATCGATTCAGCGATGCGGAAAATTATTTCGAAAAAATACTCCTTTTACTTCGACAATCGATAAATGGCCGTAAAATTCGTGTGACAAAGTTGTGAGAAAAGATCTCGGACAGCACACAATATTTGTAAAATATTTTTCAAATATAGATAATATAGATATTAAATGTTTTGTTAATATTTAAATGTCCGGGAAAGTCAGGTATGAGAAGGATTATGATAAACGCTCGAAAATATTTGTGAAGAATATTTTTTATAAATAACATAAACGTGATTTCATTTAAGTAATTAACCATGTTTTAATTTTATATATATATTAGAACTATTACTGTTTATACATAATATGTACCATCGTGTATATTCAATTCATGTATATGAAATGTATATGTAGTGCATTTAGTGGACATTATTTGCGCATCGTGGAGCATATACGTGTAAACAAGAGATATTCAAGGCCGTAGTTTTCCATTAAAATTCTAAACGCGATTTCGAAGAAATTCAAAGTAAAAATTACAAGTAGGACATTAATCTCAAGGAACACGTTCATCTTCCGAATATTTCGGCTTCCGAATGGCCGTTTTCCAACTCCAATTCCAATATTTCCATGCTATATAATAGAGCGAAAATGTCCAAGGATCCCTGAAAGGATGGTTTGACGGACCAACTTCCGTGTACTCCAGTGAGTTCGAGTAACATCGCTTGTAAATGTCGTACATTTCTGTCATTACCGCTGAGCCCGGCCGGGAAGCTGCTGCAAAGTAAGCTGCTGGTTCGTCGTCGAGGCTTTTAGTCGGGGGTCGCGGCTGAAGTGGCGAATATAAAGCCGCGATGAAGAGGCGGATATAAAAAGGCGCGATTCTTTCACGTCGAACCCGGTGAATGGATCGCTCCCGGGGGGAGAGAGACTCGCCGTCGCCGCGTCCCGTCGTCGCTTGCGACGAACAAGCCGGCTCTCTCGCGCGACGCGGATCGTGTTGCGTTAATTTCCTACACGAAGACGCGGGGATGGAAGGAAGGAAGGAAGGGGAGGCCAAGTGAAACCGCGTTTACCTTAGCGTGCGGGCCACGTCGACACTGCGTGTCGATCGCGTATCAAATTGCTCGGCTAAAAGTTACACCTGCAATGTAAGCACGATCTTCTCCCCGCCATCACGGGAGATCACATGAAACTTTAATGGCTGCTATTTACACGCGAGGAAATTCAATAAAAACCGCCGGCACCCTGATATATATATATATATATTCTGTTTACTCGTCACGCGCAACTCGCACGCGAGTTATCCGATTGAATTTCCGAAATTAATTCCCGAATAATTCGGCAAGAATTCGATTAAAGCGCCCTGCCAGTGAGATGTAAATGAGCGAGCATTGTCGTCGCATATTTTCAGCATCCGACCCGATGACCCGGCAGTGCCCTAATCTCGGCCGCTACGACATCGTGTCGTTGTTCCGGCCGCCGAACGCCGACAACGTCGAAGACATATTGGCCGTCGACGGCGAGCAGAACGTCGCGAACGTGGCGGAGGTGCACGACGTGAGAGTACCCTCCACGCCATTCCCGAGGCAGTGCCACCACGGCAGCGTTCGCAGGCTGGACATCGGCTGCAGGACACCCGATCGCATGGAGTTCGCCACGTCCTGCAGCGACGAGGCGTTATCCGGTAAGGATATTCCGTCCGCCTTTCGAGAACGCATTGCGTAGCTTTTTGGGGAATCTGGGATATTCATAGGAAATTGCGCGCATTGCTTCGTTTTCCGCGGAATTTTTGGAAATGTGGGGTTTTGGCTGAAAGTATAGCCACCCCTGTAAGCGCGTAATATTCTTTAATATTAAGTAATATTCTCCGGGCATATTCTTAGAATATTAAATGCGTAATATTCCAATAATATTCTAGTGATATTATTTAATGTTATTGTAATATTGTAGATTTTTTTCAATATCCAACTTTACGAGTGCATATAATATGTATAATTGTTGGTTTTTTTATTTCGAATGTATCGCAATAGCAAGTTTGGAGTGGCGCTCGAAAGGTTAAAGCCGGACGGAGAACTGGACGAAAGTGGGGCGGGATTCGGCGAACTTTCCGATTCTCAAATTTTACACAGGCGAAATCAGTAAGCACGATACTTTACGATCGGCTTCTTCGAAATTAATCACCGGAATTTTCCCGAAAATCGAATTATTACAAGTTTAATCGTATCAAACGAGGGATCGGGCTAAGCTAAACCAGCGGTTCTTTCAGCAGCTGCTTCCTCTCACCTATGCTCGCACGGATAGTTTTCTGTTTCATTATGATTTCGCTCAACCGGCCGAAAGAAGTTAGGCAGAGGGATGCCCGATGTGTGACAGGGAGGATTTTATCCGAACGACGAGTTTCGAAAGCGCTCGAAAGCGCTTCGACGGATCCCCGACGGGTGACATGGGTCGGGACGGTTAACGGACGTACTCGTCGATCTCCTCGTTGTCGTCGTAGCTGTCGACGTCTTGCCTGACTGTCTTCCCTTCTCGTCTTCATTGCTTGTATCCACGTCGTGTTTATCTCGTTTAAAAGCCTCGATATAATCCGCCGAAACACGAGACCCAGCGCGCGCGCTTTTCGCGACTGCACGTTTCGCGAACGCAAATTAACTCCTTCGTTCATTCGTCTTAAATTTGGGACGATCGACGGACGCGATTAAATTCTCGGTCGTTCGTTCCTCCGATCTTCCCAAGAAGAATCTTTCAGCTTTCTTTCTGAGGAGCGAAAAAGTGATTCGAAGCGCGCTAAATGCGCGCTTCCGTTCCTCCGCCTCGATGACGACGCCGGGTCTGAAAGACACAACGATGGACGGAGCAGCCGTGTGTCGTCCTCGACGGCAGTGCTCGGAGGAGCTTCGTGGATCGAGCTGGATGGATGGTTCGAGCGGTTCCAGAGGCGACTCGACACGGGCTGGATGGAGCACGTCCGCCAAGAACATCTTATCGGATTACCCGCGCTACTCCCTCCGTCCCCACTCTAGTTCACGCGAAGTTATCACAAGTGATGATAGTTGGTTTGCGGAAAGGCAGTGACGGTTGCCGGGACACCGCTTGCTTACGTGCCTCACCTCCTCCCCTCCTAACTTGGCCGCACCTCGTTTGGTGCTATACATAAAATTGGCGCTATAAATAAAAAGTGAGAAACGCGCCCCGGCCGTCATTCGAATCGGCCACTTCGCGTTAAGACGAACGAGTGGATGGAGCTTCCCGGCCATATTGTTAGACGCATCTTAATTTTTTACATTTTATTGACATCCGAGAACCGGCTTTGTAATACGGCTCATCCGTCGATCGAATGTTTTAAGGAACCATCTATAAAGGGTATTTTTTATGACGTCATTCCACTTGGCTGTTACACAATGATGAACAAGTATGAACCCCCGCTAGTGTTGCACTGTTGATAATAACGAGAAAAGACGCGAGTTTTGAGTGGGTGTCAATTGAAATTTGGTTTTATCTTCGTTCATTTGTAACCCGAAACTTCGAATTCCTTGACTATCGACAGAAGAATAAATGTTCGTGTGAAAATATTTATCTAAGAAATAAAAAGTATTTATTCGGGTTCTGAATAACATATTTACGTAAATCTAAATTTGTTTTTATTTCAATAGAATATATGAAATTAATGAAAAGCTACAGATTTAAGTAAATATGTATATTTTCTCGTTTAAGAAGATTTTTTATCGTACAAATATGTGTACTGATGCAAGTAAACGTGTTATTTATAGTTTGCAACGAGTAAATATTTTTTGCTTCCTAGATGCTTTTTCTCTCAGCGTATTCGACCGATCGAGAACGTGCAAAACTAGCATCGCGATATACGGTAAATAGCAGTATGTGTAGTCTTTTTTTTTCCTTTTTCACTCGAGGAACAAGTAGTCGTGTCGAATTGTAAGACTACACTGAGAGAAAAAAGCGGTTGGATCGTCAAAATTGACAGTCATCCACGTCCAAAGAAATATTATCCATGAAACTAATTATGCATTAGCACATATATATTTCGTTGATACGGTTATTGAACAAATCGCAATCACTGAATCAATTGATCATTTGTCACAACAACTATATAACCTGTTCAATCGACTAAATATTTGCTCGAACGAATGTTATATACTCGGTTTCTAAATGGATTGGACATTTTTTTTCGATGCAATTCGGAACGTAACCAATGGCTCAATGAGAGAACTTACTTTTCAAAACGAGTTCTCTCATTGAATCATCGTTTGCGTTCCGAAATGTATCGGAAAAAAAATACATTCAATCAGAGCCTTATTGATTCCACCGGCTTTTTTCTCAGTGTACGTATTTGAAACGTCTACGCGGAAAAAAATTAGCGTCAATTCAAAACTCATGTTTTCATACATAAGCAGGAATAAGTAAAAATGTACAGGACGTTCAAGAAATCTCTGGACGGTCTAATATTTCAGAGAGTATAAGTAAATATTTCATAAAAGAAAAGTTTCAGGCCAAAGTTGTAATGTTTCAACAAAATCCATCTAATGGTCTGAACAGTTTGACTTTAGGCTTTCGGCGCTGCCAAAATCAAATCAAGGTTAACTTGAATTTTTTTATAAAATCATGGTTTTTTTTTACATTAATCGACTCCTCTAGTCATTCTGTGTATCAAAATATTAGATAAGTATTGAACTTTTTTACATAGAATGAAAAGTGGAATCGAGTGCTGTAAAAAAGTATTGAAGAAACTTAAAAAAATTTGCTGTACTTTGCAAATACAAAGATACAACAATATGTAATGATTAGTATCATTAATTGATTTTTCCGACCTTTTTACGTATATACATAAAAATATTAAGATAAGGTTATCAGAAAGTGAATGACTTTATGAGATACTTCATATTTTATACTAAAAAATATCAGAATAAAAATGTAAAATATCTTGGAAAGTATTAATTTTTCGATGAATTTGCTCTAGTATATTTTTCTTTTCATACACAGAACTAATATAATTATTACTTTAAAGAACCTTAAACTTATATCGTCCATTCTGTATCCGATATTTCATCCTCCCAATTCGTGAATAATTATTCTTGAATAACAAGAATAATATTTTTAGTAGGAATTATGTAGAGTGCGAAACGAGTTTTATGTTCCTGCTTATGCATGAAAATATAAGTCTTGAATCGACGCTGATATTTATTCCGCGTGTACGATACGGACGTTCTCGTTCGGCAACAAAAGGGCCGGCCTCGATAAATTTACGGTTTGCAACATTAAAACTAGATTATAGTTAATAACGAATTATATACATACCGAGCGTTATTATTATAGAGGGCCCCGTTAATTTTCGCGAGACATTTATGAACGGTCGAAACGGGAATATTTGTCGTCCAAACAGCGTTTGTGTGCATCGACGTCGACATAAACTGCGTATTTAGCTCGACGGCTCGACAATAACGATAATAATAAATTAACGTGATTTCTGGATTAAACGGATTTCCGGAAAGGTGGAGGCGCGCGCGAGCGAGCGAATGGATTAAATCCCACCCCTCGTGTGCGTCGAAGCTTCGCGATACGCGCCGTCGATGAGACGTCTCTTTGTAATCCGCGAGTGCGCTGATACGTTTCTTGGCGGAAGCCGAGAGCGTGCGGCGGCTCGGGAATTATTTTAACGGCGCGAGTTACCGGAGACATGTTGACACAACCGAGGATTTAGGCACTCGAGAGAGCCGGGTGGTGCGCTTCGCGCGACACGGGTTTGTATTCGGAGACATAGATAGCAACGACGTCGACGTCGACGACGAAGAGGAGACAAAATGGCCATTAAGACTTCGTATAAACAGCGCTGCCGCTGGTCCGCGGCTTAGAGACCTCGGGTATCGCGGCTCCTCGGCCAGCACGATCGTTCATCGCGTCCGGAGGAATCGTTCGCGTGGCGGACTTCCGTGACTAATTAGGCGCCCGCTAATCTCGATGCAGGCTCGGTGAATTCAAGGCTGCGTTTTAGGGCTCGTTACGCCGGCTTCTATTCTTAGAGAACGCGCTCTCGCGTCTCTCGTTAGATCGCCGCTCGCCGGGGAAACTTTCAAGGTATGGAGTAATGAGACAAGTCGTCTCGACTGCGACCGGAATTCCTCGTCGTTCGCTCGGTTCCGGTATCTCGCTCGAGCAAGGATCATTGGCCACGATCCAGTTCTCCCTCAGACCCGGCGCATGTCAGGGTGGTAGAGTATAAATAATGTGTAAATAAAGAAGCGACGTTGAATTTGATAGATCAAAAGTCGGTCGTGTTTCCTACGGTGGTGCCGGGAAGCGAGGAAACAAGAGAAGGGTGAAGATGGGGTAGGAAAGTAAGATTAGCTTGCAGAAAAAGTTGCAGTTGTAGAGTTCGAACGAATTTCAATTTAATCTGTAGCTCATTGAAAGTTGGATCATGAAATGAAATCCCCGGTTTAAGGAGCGAATAATACTGATTTCTACTCATACGGATATCCTGTTGTACTCTTCGTACATTTTCCGAACGTTCTCGGGAAGAGCAAGCGATAGGTGATTGTTAGTCCTCGAAATCTCCTAAAGGCATTTACTTTATTTCAGAGTGCCAGAGTTGTCTGTTCTTTTTTCTTCTATATGGTTCTCGATAATCTTCTTCATCAGAAGATGATTTAAAAATATGCCGTATCACATATTAAAAATATGAAAATTAAGCACATTTTTTTTTTATACATCAAATTAGCTAGTTACTTTCCTCAACTTACTTTCCTTAAATTACTTTCCTTAACCTTTTCTTAAAAATGTTAATTAGCCCTAAACAGTCAATATTGGCCCTTTCAATTTGATTCAGTTTACGTACGTTTAATTGCGATAATATACGTTCGGTTGTAAGCAAATCACTGGTAGAAACCGATATTTTGACAGACTTGGATCAACCGGATGTCGCTACTTTTTAAATTATGATAACAGAAACAGGCATTAATAAAAAGACCTTTCTCATAATTTTTAGGTACTCATAACTCGGCACATCGAAAAGGGATTCTTTTCTGTCGATACATACGAAAATTCAAACAAAAATAATGTTATTTACCGGTACACCTTATGCCTCTTAGTCGTAGTCGTTGAAAGAAAAAATGGCAGCTCGGTGATGCGAATGAGACAGCGAATGGAGCCAATCCTGTTCAACGTCGCTTCTCTATTAATATGCAGGAACGGCTGGGAGGCGGAAAATTCAGCGTTCGTTTTGATGTATCAGCGTCGTTTGCCACGAGCTTGATTTTCACCGGGCGGCATCGTCGGACACGAGACGCGGTCTCGCGTTTCCTCTTCACGCGAAGTCACGAGCTGTCGCGCGACCGCAGTAAATTCTCATCTTGCTATCTTGCAACCACGATCGAGTATCGTCGCTCGAAACGTCAGCCCTGATATCGATGCGTCGACGGGATTTACGGCCCTCGTTTATTCTTCTTCCGTTCGCGCATTGTTACGACGGGAAGGCGGAGGCAAGCAGCTGCCGTAAAAATGACGGCGTAAAAGTAGCCGGTCGAGCGATCGAGTCGCATCTTTCCCTCCCTTCTTTCTCTTCCTTTCCTCTCCCTTTCCCTTCCGTCCTTTCATCCCTTTTATCGGACGCGTTAATTGAATGGCTGAGGGATCATGGTTAGTTTATCCGCAGGCGGCCGGCGGGAATCGTTATACGAAGTTACGAGCGATAAATTTAACGGCATAAATCTCGTCGAGGCGAGTTTTCGCGATTAATATTTCAGAACGCGGTGCGTTCGTACGGGGAATATCGACGGCCGACGAAGAGTCGAGGCACACCCGAGTCTCGCGTGTCAATATCGCTTTAATATCAATCAACCGCCACTGTTACTTCCACTTCGCGCGCAATTACAGCGACCGAAATAGGATCGCGCCCCCGCAATTTGTCGTTGCGCGTATCATTCCTCGGCGAGATCCGGGAGGAGAAGAGAGACCGGTGTCGAAACTTTTCCGGATTTCCTCGTGTGCAATTTAAATTCCGCGCGCTTGGAACACCCAAAGGTGCCTTAAAAAAGGTCATCTCGCTACGATACCGGTTGGTAACTCATAAATATACAGTCCTTGGCCGTGTTAGAGTCCTCGACATAAATAAAGAAGCGACATTGAACAAATAGAATGTTTCATTTATTTTGTCCGATCGTAACGTAAAGTGGAATGCAGATAAATCTCGGGGAAAACGTTCGGAGTGGCCAAGTAAGGCCTGCTTATGCATTACACTTTGAAATCTGCATAGATCTTCCAACTGGAATCTATAATCACCTTGGGAAATCGCGGAGCCCGATTGGATCCTAAAAAAATTCTCTACAGGAGAGGAAGAACGTTCTCCTCCCGCATTGCCGGCGGGTCGAACGACGTTGGGAACAACGACTACGTGGAATAACGAAATCTCATTAACGAGTTACGGTCATTTTGCAGCCCGCTCGCCGTCAAATTCACCCCGTGTGGCTCAGCGTGTTATTGTTGCGAGCCCTTCAAGCGGCCTTAAAAACTTCGCTCCGCCAAGCAGCGCGCGACAAGTTAGGCATAAAGTTACCGCCGTCGATTCGCCATAATCTCGCTACGGAAAAAAATCGGGAAGTTTAATGCGACTTCGGGCGGCTTTTACTTCGACATCCGTCGCAGCTGGTGACTCGTCGTCCCCGCTGATCCGACAGGACGCGATTTTTTTACATCGACCCCTCTCTCTCTCTCTCTCTTTCTCGTGGTTTTCTCCGGCACAAACGACGCTTCGTTTCCAGAGTACTTATGCCACGGAACTTGGGTTGAGAACGACACCGCTTACTTGGTGGCCAGCACCGACGTCGGACGTTACTGCCTCGTTTACAGCGCGTCCGCCGCGACGACAGGAAGTCGTGAACTCTCGGTGACGGGCCATCTCGCTTCCTGTCCGAGGGCCTCTCATCGCCATCCAGTCTCGTGGCAGGTTAACCTCACGTCGTACGGTGAGCATTGTTAATTCTGGATGCGACACGCGACTCGACTTGCGGAAGTTTCCCCTTCGTTCGTGCTCTAGTTATAACTTGAGCGTTCCGTGACTTCCGTTTCTTTTTCTTTCGCGTCCGCGATCAAATCGCTGTCCGCTTTCGGGACGCCTCCACGCACAAATCGCGCGTACTTTCACTGTATGTACAAAAGCATTTATATGTAATTCTTACGCGGCCGATATACCACGCGAACTTCGCAGAAAGAAGTCAATATTTTGCCGGCAAGATTTTGAAGTACAGCATCTCCATGAGCCAACGATCATAGAGTCTTTTGCGTTGCAATTTACCGTTGCATCTTTTTTCGAATAATTTATGAAATAATTTTTCACGATTCTACTCGAGAACGCGCGGTGAAAAGGGTTTCTCCAGATTTAGTGTTTCTATTTATTTCGTGAAAATTTACTTCATAGAAACAACGTATACGAAGTATGATTTGTTTGCATCGAAGCATTGAAGTATTCATCAGCTCGGAATATGAAATTGTTAGAAGAGGAGGTCGACGTCTCAGAAGTGAAAAACAATACCGGGTTGAGACAGCCATCGTCGTGAACGCGTTAATTCGACAAGATCGCTTTTGTCCGGAATCGCACTCGCTAGGAGAGCGCTCGACGTACAGAATCCGAATTCGGCGAAGAACGATTCCGATCTGTTTCAGCCCAATGCGGCGACATCTCGTCGGCGACCACGTGGGCGCTCCGGATGCCGGCGTCCCTCTTCAACATCGTCTTCATCGGCGCGCTCTTCGCCAGGTACATCGCGAGGTGATGGCACTGAGTCGAGACGCGCCACGCACCGGCTGCGACTGTATAGTTGAAAAGAAAAGGAAAAAAAAAGATAACCAAAGACTCTTATTGCGATATTGCGTTTGTGGTGATTATACATAACGTTCTGGGATTTGCTGGTGACCTGGGTGGCCCGGG